TTTTAGTGTCCGATCTAGTCCTTAATGGAGTTAAGCACCGAATAGATGACTGTGACAAATCCTAAAAGCCAATAAAGTTTTTAACCCTAGATAGCTAACCTCCGTCGATTCGACGGGCATTGAAAAGAAATAACGTTGTAACTTTTTAATGCCACGTCCAAACGTTTTGTCCCGACTAGCCAACTCAGAGGCCCGGGAGTCCTTTGCAGTGGTGTAGGCAGTGGACAGGTAAGTTTCATAGTTTTCAAGATATTTGATCTTTGCCCGTCGTTTCGACGGATGGTTAGCTTTACCGTAAGTAATTTAGTTCGAGTGCCCGCATACATTTTTTTAATAATTTGAGATTTTTTTTAGATTTTCATCTTGTTTTCATTAAAAAACGATAAAATAATAAATCTACTATTATAAGAAGTTACTAACGATGCCCTGGATGCTAGTCCTGCCCGTGAGACCGACGACTTTCTGGTGGAAGATGATGTGCAAAGTAATCGTAATTATTAACTATCAGATTATGAGGAAAGTTAAGTAAACCCACCACCAGACATGTCTTCAGACGTGGAACGTGATTCGTCAATTATTTCAAATACCGTTCCCTCGGAAATTACAAAAATCAGCATTATATCATATCAAAATATGCGGTAAACATAAAGTTGATTTTTGTGTCACTTGCGCTAAAAAGAAAAAAAATATTTTATGAGTTTATTACTTTTAATGTTTTTACGTACCATATTAAGTCAAAAAACCGATTATTTTATTTAAAAATTTCATTGATATTGCATGTCAAAGTGGTTACTTACAAAATGTTCCAATTTCTTTAGAGGTCTAAGAAAAAATATTTTAATTTAATTAATAAATAAATAATGTGAATTTAAATAATGCACATTTATTCACAAATATGTGAAGGAACCAAACTGTAAAAAAGACTTAGATTTTTTAAATTACTTCGTCCAAAAAATAATGTTTTTTTAATACCCGTCATTTCGACGGATGGTTAGCTTAAACAGGGTACGCCGGAAGGTTAGCTATCTAGGGTTAAGTATTATTATAATTGAAGGTTGGATTAGTCAAAAGTTTTTTACGCGGAGTAGATGCATTCCAGCGGGCTTTGCTCTGTAGACATTATACTCGTAAATGCTTCGGGAATAGCGATGGACCAGTTCAGAGCGACGTAGATTTTCTCATACGCAGCAGTACAATTTTAGATTATTCGTTCATCACATAGGGAAACGTTATGATACCGAACAGAATATTACCTACATGAAGTGACCAAGAACTGCAAGCAATTGAATGCATTTTCAAGAAGTGTAAGACACTGCAATAAGTACCTAAGTAGTATTTGTCTGAACAGAACCTAAGGTAATTGCTTTCATCAATATTCAATGAGTTGTTGTGTAAAGTTATGCTAATTCTCAGACTTGTGGTAGCCCAGGGTTTATGTCTGTGCCAGAGTGTACTTTGCGACTTCGCCTGTACAAAAAGTAAATTTTAAGCCAAGTTTTTCGTTTAGTTAGGCCCGGTTTCCACCAAAGCGTAGCGGAGCAGAGAAGTGTTTTGAATAACCAATCAGATTTCATTGCCGCGCAGCTGTCAAATTCTATAGATTTTTTTTTTTAATTTATTTCCACACACATTATCACTATCATTTGATGACCCGGCACTTATCTGCTCTGCTCCACTTCACTCCGACTTGGTGGAAAACGGGAAATTAAATTAAAAATCCCTCGGTATAGCGCCACACTAGAGATTTGCTCAAAACTTTTTTCTTTTAATTTTTTTTCAAGAGACTACTACCGGCTTAGGGTGTGCGTTGTCTGTCAATCACTCACATCATAATTAAGTGTTAAGTGACGCATTGACATAAACCAGTTTCTTCCCAATCGTATGAATGAAAGTTAGTATGTATAATAATATTAGTCATGCACTGAGGATATATTACATAAGACTGAATATATACGTCTGCAATTTAGAAAGAAAGAAAGAAAAATTGTTTATTTGGTTCAAGAAAGCAATGAGGATCAGTACTGTTGTAGAAAATTCAATAAAACTAGTATCTACGTTAATCTTTAAGACATAAGAAAGATATATCTTTTTGAATTATCCAAATCGGACCATTACTTACGAAGATATTAAGTAATAAACATAGGCCTGTTTTTGCCGCTAAAATTCAACGTACGCAGGGCCGCGTGACGTCACTATATCCGAATCGAGCGCAGCCGGCGTACTATTGGGATGGAAAATATTTTTTTCCAGCTAAACTATCAGTTTTAGAAAAAAACTTTTAATAACATTTATTCATCAAAATAAAGTAACCTATCGACCAGTAATTTTTAAAAATAAAAATTTTGAAAAATAAGTATCACTATGTCCAAAAACCACATTTTATAGGATTCGATGCAATGCGGAGACGCGGTTGGGGTGAGTGTAACTTAATGATTGTTTGTATTGAACATAATAATACATTATGATGCTAATACCTACCCAGTTTCTGGCCTGGGGGGGGGGCCATTGAATCGTATGAGCGTATGGATTTTTTGCGTTATTTTTCACAATTTCTATTTTTAAAAATTACCTATCGATAGCTTACTTTATTCTGATGAATAAATGTCATTACAAGTTTTTCTCTAAAACTGATAGTTTGGCTAGAAAAAAATATTTTCTATCCACGCAGTACGCCGGCAGCGTTCGGATCGGATATAATGACGTCATCGTCCCCGCGCCGGGCGGTCAGTGAACTTTTTTAGTAATTTGGCCATAACTTCGTCAATTTTTGTCGTAGAACAATAATTTTTGGACTGTGTATTAAGGATTTCTTAGCTCTATAAATCTACATTCACAGCTAAAAATCGAAATGATCCTCATTAGGTAAATATTTCTATGCTAGATGGTCAAACGTAGGCTTGGTCGCTTGTATTCTGGAAGAAAACACTTCCTGGCGATAATAAGTGTGTGGTTTTTTTATGTGACAGGAGACAAACGATTAAATAATACGTGTCTTACAGTAAAAGTACTACCTACATAATATCGAGACCTATGTACGAGTATGCATCTAATAATAGTATCAATTCATCTGATAGCGCCTCTACCTTATTAATAATAAAACAAGGAAGGCTTTCGAGTCACGTTTTAACTTAAGTTTAGGCTAACACAGACACCGTAAACTTACTAGTATACCTCTCACACAGTTATCTGACCTCGGGCTGTAACCTTCGCCTTTGTCGTAGTGGTGACTTTATACAGAAACGCTGGTCGCCAAGTCCGACCGAGTTAACCTGTTGGGTTGGTTGGCGCGACAAATACTTATTATCTTAACAAAACTACACCTTTTATTGCCCATTTATTCCACTACATCTTAACCTTACATGCAAGTACCTACCTACTTGTTTATGTTGCGTACTTGATGACTGATAAATTAATGCTACTATGATGATAACAAGCTGATCTTAGCTTGGAACGAATCTAGTATCAACGGTACAAGTCCTACTGTAGATTGTGGTGCCCATGTAGAATAGTAATGATGGTCTGAGTCACGTTGTCAATGTAACATTATAATTGTTATCGCATACTTCAATACTGCTTAAGCAACGTTTCTATCTATGTATTATGTAGGTATATTAAGGCTATATTTCTTATTAGGAAATAAAACATGTAAGGGCGTACAGGCACTATTTATCAACTAATGGAGCGAAAGAAAATGAAATTAATACTTAATGAAATTAAACTCACAAAAGTCACAAAAATAAAAAAGTATTTTAATTTGACGAGGTTTTCTAAGCTCGGTATAAGTATGATAAGTTGAAGAAACAACCACTTAAACCCTAGATATAGCCGGAAGAAGAGCGCACGTAATATATGTCAGTAATATGATGTATAACATATTTCTGTAGGTGTTTGCCCTTTACGTTAGAAGCTGTAACACTTTACTAGTGTACGCGGTAATGTTTTTTAAATTACTCGCGTAATGTTACGATGGAGATCCGCTACGGATCGGTAACTGCGAGCGGCCGCGCGGTCAGTGCCGTTTTCATGATTACACTAGACCTGTCCTGCCTGACCACACGACTGGTTGGACCACAAATGCACTGAACTTCACCCATTGCTTGATTAATTGAATGCTAATTATATGTACCTTAACATATACATTGTAAAACACAATTAAGTTTTTTAGACTTTTATTGGTCTATCAATTATAATTTTATTAATCTACTTAATGCTTATAATTTCTGATCTTATCATTATAGCCAATTAAATATAATTTCGTAGTTTAAAAAAATATTTTCCAGGTAATTTAGACACCTAAATTTACAACTTAAAGGCTTTTCAGTAGAGAAATTGTGCATCTACTGTTTATCAATATTGTATGAGTAATTATAAATTAATTGGTGCTAATTAACCTATTAAAGCCTTTAATTACTTATTCACCATACACTTGTTTGTCACGATGTTATCGTGATTCGTATTTAGAGTCTAAAATGAGCACAAAAAAATCTTTATATTTGATCATTAACATTTGATATCTAAAGGCGATATTTTCCTCGGATATCGTGTGGGTTGTTGGTAACTGAGGTCACAACCCTAGTTAACGGGCCGACAGCTTAATGCTCTTCCAAGCACGGAATTATATTAGATATATAAATAATAAGTTGAATGTTAACACCATTTAACGTGAAATTATTGGGATAGTAAAACTTGCTAAACTAACGTAACTTGAAACTTATATTAGTTTCATCTGTTGCACGAAATGATAAGTTTCATCTGACCTACTTCCCTGGTCGATTTGAACTGAAATTGTACTTTTAGAAGACAATACAAATTACATTGTATTGTGTATTGTAAAAAACGAATATAATAGCAGAATGGGTTAATACAAAAGTTAATATGTTTTTCTTTGTTATTTATTCAATATTTGGTTAAGATCAAACTGTCATAATGATTAATTTTAAAACGACCTATTATTAAGGTTTGTGTTTATGTTATTAAAATAAAATTTTCTATTGTTTCAGAAACAATGTACATAGAAACCTTACCTCTCGTGGTTTGGACGCTCTTAGTCACAACGACACATGTAAGTCAAATATCTATCTATCTAAGTAAATAGTATTAATCAGCTAACCTAATTATAAGAGAAAACCTAGTTATGACCTTACATAATAACGATGTATAATAACAATCTACTTTTACTATAATGCTACGCAATGCAATTGTATAATTTTCTTCCACAGGTAGCGACACAAAGCCAATATGGAATAGGTTTAGGAATAAAACGAGAAGTGTTTTTCTTAAATTTAGAAGACGGCTATTTTGGTTGTCAAGTAAACGAATCGACACAAATATTACAATTATATGAATTATCTAAATTATGCGACGGTGTGCCGGATTGTTATAAGGCATCCGACGAACTCAAGTCAGAGTTAAAATGCACAGGTGAGTTATTGTTTCAATTATAATTAGGAATCGATAAATCCATTTATATTAAAGAAGTTATGTTAATGCTTCGTTTGTTTAAGAGGTAAACAAATGATGATCAACTATGTTGAATCAAGACCACCAGACGTTCATTGAACGTCTACCTGAACTATACTTATCTACGTAGATTTGTTCTACCTACATGTACCTAATTGACGGCACGATTTTATGAATGAATGTGATAAGTTACACTACGCATCATGTTCATTCAAAGGCACGTGGCCAGTGCATAGTGGTTCAGAGCCTATAGAACAGACGGGCAATCTGATAATGAATTATGTAGGTATTTGCCATTGAAAAATAGGTCTATTATCCTACTTTATAATCCTGAACGTTTGAAAGGATGGATGTTTACTTAGTTACTTTTACATTAACTACAGAACGGTTTCTGACGGAACTTACAGCACCTACAGTAGCTTATAAACATACGACATAATATTACGGGCATTAGATAGTAAGTAAATATAATCTAATCAATTTAATATTCTGATAAATTAAAAACATTATGTTTAAATATCATGGTATATTGTAAGAAAAATTACATTAGTTTCATATACAAATACAAACACATACATATACAAACAAAAGTACAATCCAAATGTAGGAAAACATCCAAATATTAAACCAAAACACGCCACCGCTTAAGATACCTGAAACAAAAAAAACATGTTGTTTAAAATATGTTAAAATGCATTTTTTGCTACTACGTCTACGGTGTCTACTACGAGATTGCTACGAGATATTAGGAACTCTCAATAATCTAATTCCTACAGTACTCGTAGACTCGTAGTAGCTATTCCTATGCTAATTGGAATTGCAATGCTTCAGATAAATTCTCCAGTATAGGTACAACAAATGTAATATCAGTCAAATTCGTTACTAGTAAGTAAAATGTCTATGTTACTGTGAAAATAATCGCATCTGATTTATGTAGTACTAGCTTTCCGCCCGCGGCTTCGCCCGCGTGGAATTTTGTCTGTCACAGAAAAACTTTATCGCGCGCGTCCCTGTTTCAAAAACCGGGATAAAAACTATCCTATGTTCTTTCCCGGGACTCAAACTATCTCTATGCCAAATTTCATCAAAATCGGTTGCGAGGTTTAAGCGGGAAAGCGTAACAGACAGACAGACAGACAGACAGACAGACAGACAGACAGACAGAGTTACTTTCGCATTTATAATATTAGTTGGGATTCTTATGTTAATTGTGTATAAGTATTTAAATGTTACCTGTTTTAATACTGTTATTGGTACTACTGTTCTATTCATAAATAAATAAATAAATGAGATTTTATATAGCCCTTAGTTTAGGAGTATTTATAGGTCATTAACATCATATTTTTGACATCTATTTTCTACACACTTGACCTTTGCCTGAACCACTGTGAACTGTACCTACTTACAATTATGTAGTCATGACTTTAATGATGTGAATAGTATTAATTTATGTTTAAGTAAATTGTGATACCCATGTGTTCTATGTATTGTGTTATTTTAGATGATTGTACCAAAGAAGATGGCGCGCGTTGTATAAATGGTGCTTGTCTAAATGGTGTGTGCCATTGTAATGATGGTTTCGGTGGATGTAACTGCCAGGAACCTGGTACGTATAAAAAGTAGTCACGACATATTTAGGCAATTGACGTGAATAGGATACATTTATTCATTGATTTAATCAATTTTCAGATGTAAACGAATGCAAAGACAGACCATGCGATGTTTTTGCTCATTGTACAAATACAGTCGGTAGTTTTCAATGCTCGTGTTTTCCTGGCTACGTAGGCGATGGTTTCACTTGCAAAGGTAATAAATAAATAATTTCTGAAGTTTTAAACTAGTTTTTATAAAAAAAAAAACTAGCTTTTTCTTACTGGCCTATATACAATCGGATCATAAAATAATGTTAATGTTTCATGACAGATATAAATGAGTGCGAAGATCCAGCGATATCGGCTCGATGTGTCGAGAACGCCGAGTGCTGTAATTTGCCAGCTCATTTTATTTGCAAATGCAACCGCGGCTTCGAAGGCGACGGAGAAGAGGAATGTCGAGGTATGCATATCTAATACTTCCAGACGTATTGCTAAATATTATTTAAATAATAACGAATTTATGCATCAGAAATATTTGAATCTTTAAAATCTAAGAAAATGGTGTGTCCTTCAGATATTGACGAATGTCGACGACCTGGTGCTTGCGGTGCTAACGCTGTTTGCCAGAACTATCCAGGAAATTACACGTGTGCATGTCAAGCTGGTTATACCGGAAATCCGTTCGATGGCGTAAGTGGTCATGAAAATACCTACTTTAATCTTCCTTTTTTACTTAAATATGTATCCGTGTCTAGTCTAGTACTGTATTAATTACCTATATCCTTTAAAATAGAATAGAATTTTTAATTGATAGTGTTATTTATGTTGAAAGCTACCTGTGATATGTATTAAAAATAAAGAGTATTTTGTTAGTGTGTTGACTTGGACGAGTGCTTGAACCCGGAGTCATGCGGCGTGAACGCGGTGTGCCGTAACCTGGAGGGCGGCTACGAGTGCAGCTGCCCCGCCGGCTTCGAGGGCAACCCGCGCGTGGCCTGCAGCGACAACGACGAGTGCTCGCGCCACTCCTGCGGCCGCAACGCTCTCTGCGAAAACTTCCCGGGCGCTTTCCGATGCGTTTGCCCACCAGGTTTCCAAGGCGATCCTGATATTCTTTGCACCGGTAAGCTAAAACGCCGGTACGCCAGTAGGTGTGACGAACGCTAACCCTGTCGACTTCTGTGGTCTAACGCTTCTTAATCTATAATCAAACACTTCTAACGACTCGCGCTGACTACTACCGCAACGAGGACGCGCGGTAGTTCACGCTTCTACTAACGGTCATCATCTAATACTTACGACGTTAAATCGTACCTATTTAACGAGATGATTTCAGCAGCCTGCCTATAAAATCGTCGGCTTACAAAAGGACTACGCGACGACTCGATCATTGTTCAATTGATCAACTGAAAGACTCAACAAATTCTACAAGATTGTTTTATTGGAAAACAAGGCTTTTTGGACAATGAGTATTTCCCTCATTTCTCTTCTATCTTTGTACTTCTTTTGTTGTCTATTGTAGCTTCACGTTTGGACGTCTATATGTCTCTTTTTTCCTCTTCGTTCTGGCTGTCGGCGTACCTACTGTGAGCGTATCGTGTCAGTGACCGCGTCAGCGGCAGATGTAATTAGACGTGCGTTGTTTGTTACACCAGACGTGGATGAATGTAAGAGTAGCGAAGCAGTGTGCAGCGCACACGCAGTATGTACCAACACGGTGGGAAGCTACGTGTGCGCGTGCGAACCCGAATACACAGGGGACGCGCGCGCGCCCGCCGGCTGTCGTGATGTCAACGAGTGCGAGATATTCGAACGACCTTGCGGCACGCACGCGCTCTGCGAGAACGCCGAACCGGGATACAACTGCGTGTGTCCCCAGGGATACAGGGCCAAACCGGATCCGCAGATTGCTTGTGAACAGGTAATAAAATGAACCTTAAGCTCATGTTGACTGTTTCAGCATAGGAAACATAATACTCTATTTCTTTTATAGGTTGACGTCAATACTTTATGTAAATCAAACTTTGACTGCACTAATAATGCCGAATGTATCGATAGCCAATGTTTTTGTAAAGAAGGATTTGATGCCAAAGGATCAGTTTGTGTCGACATCGATGAATGCTCTACTAAAGCAACTATATGCGGAGAAAATGCCATATGTATAAATACACCTGGTGGTTACAACTGTGAATGCGCTGCTGGATTTGTAGGATCGCCACCTCAGATAGGATGTCGAGCTCCCTGCGAGGATGTTAAATGTGGTGACCACGCATTATGCAAGCCCGATGGATCTGAAGCTTATTGTGTATGCGAGGATGGCTGGACTTTCGACCCCATGGATATAGCAGCTGGATGTATTGATATCGATGAATGTGATACCTCATTAGGACCAGTTGGTCGTTGCGGTGTGAATTCAAGATGTACAAACACACTAGGAGGCTTTACATGCCAATGTCCCGATGGCTACTCAGGAGATGCCTACAAACAATGCGTTGATATTGATGAGTGTCAAATAGAAGGTTCCTGTGGGGTTGGAGCTGATTGTATCAATAAAGATGGTTCCTATGTATGTGAATGTCCTGAAGGATATATACCTGATCCAGACCCAAGACAACGATGTGCTGAAATCCTTGCATGTAAAAACGATAATGAATGTCCAGGAAACGCTTTGTGTGATTCCAATTCCAGATGTTTGTGCCCAGATCCCAACATAGGCAACGATTGTAGACGTAAGTTGTAACAATTTTTTTTTGACATGTGGTTTACAATTTACAAATTATTGAGTGTTGATCACTATAATAATGTTTGTATTTCTATTTTTTTTAGATCCTTGTGAAAATTTGCAATGTGGAAGTAATTCTGAATGTCTCTTACATGACCAAATAGCACAATGCACTTGTCGTAGCGGTTTTACTGGTGATCCATTATCTCCTAGTGGGTGTCAAGATATTAACGAATGTGATGAAAATCCTTGTGCTAATGGAGCTGTATGTAAAAACTTACCTGGACGTTTCCAGTGTGAATGTCCTGGAAGTTTCAGCGGTGACCCATACGTTGATGGTTGTATAGCTGGAAAGAATCCTACTGAATGTAGTAACACCAACCCCTGTCCCCAAGGCGAACAATGTATTTTACACGAAGGTGAACACGTTTGTATTTGTTCTCAAGGATTTTCTCGTAGCATAGAAACTGGATTGTGTGAAGATGTAAACGAATGCACACATCATGGACGTTCTCCGTGCGGACTAAATGCAATTTGTAAGAACTTACCCGGTAGTTATGAATGCAAATGTCCAGCCGAGTATAGTGGGAATCCATACCATCTCTGTGAAGTTTGTGACGATATAAATTGCCAATGTCAACCTCCATATAAAGTAGTAAATGGAAATTGTGTACTATCTGGTTGTTCTAAGGATAATACATGTGGTAAAGGAGCCGAATGCATAATTATTTCGGATGGAGTTAGTTATTGCGCTTGCCCAGCTGGTTTTTCACAGACTGCCGACGGTGCTTGCGAAGATATAGATGAATGTACATCAGGTCAACATGTATGTGGATTTGGAGCAGAATGTGTGAATACCTTAGGCTCTTTCACATGTAAGTGTCCCTCTGGTTATAGTAAAGACTCAATATCTGGACAATGCGCACTGAACCAGAAGAGGTGTATTAGTGACTCAGATTGCTTTCCCAACGAAAAATGTATTCAACCTGGAAATTGTGTGTGCCCACCACCATTCTATCTAGATGTAACAGATGGCCAGAAGTGTAAAAGCCCATGTGAAAGATTTACTTGTGGGATTAACGCAAAATGTACTCCAAGCGATCCTCCGCGTTGCATGTGTATGTCAGGATATGAAGGAGACCCCTATACTGGCTGCACTAATAGGAATGAGTGTCATAGTGCTCCTTGTGCTTATGGAGCAATTTGCCACGATAGGAAAGGAGGTTATCAGTGTGAATGTCCCCAAAATATGGTCGGAGACCCATACAAAGGCGGATGTAAGTATTCGTAATTATTAAAACTATTTTACCCGCCTATTATAATACATTACAATATTATTATTATCATTTTCATTACAGGTACTGTAGAAGATGGTCCAACACAAAAACAACTATGTAGTTCAGATGACCAGTGTCCTAACACCCTTGCGTGTTTAAATCATACGTGTGTTTCGCCCTGTAGCAGTGTATTATGTGGACCTAATGCTTTCTGTGAAGTAGATAATCATGCTGCTTGGTGTCGTTGCAATCCTGGTTATACCAAGCCCGAAGGAGGAAAATGCATATCAGGTTTGAAGAATTTTAATTAGAAGAATAAAATAATTTTTAGATGTAGTATTTAATTTTGGTACTCATTTTGGTTACGTTTTAGGGTGCGATACATACTCATGTGCTATCGGTGCACAATGTATAATATCAAAGGCTGGCCCGACATGTGTATGTCCCGAAGGAACGGTTGGCAATCCATTCCCTGGCGGCGCATGTAGAAGAGACGTGTGTGGGCCGGGAGTGCCATGCGAGGAGCCGTTAACGTGTGTGGCCGGGCGCTGCAGACAAAGATGCGACGGAGTTGTGTGCGGCGTCGGGGCTTCATGTAATGAAGATACTGGAAAATGTGTTTGTAACGCATTTTTTGTTGGAAACCCTGATCTTTTGTGTATGCCACGTAAGTAAATTTTGCAATTAATTCATTACTTATTATTACTATTATGTTTTCAATTGTCATTTAAATATTTATTATATTTGCAGCTATATCTCCTCCGGATTGTGAACCAGGATGTGGTGAAAATGCACATTGTGTTTACGGACAAACGAATGCCTGCAAATGTGATAAAGGTTTTACAGGAAATCCTTACAAGAAATGTCTTCCAAGACGGCAAATAACTTGCGCTAAAACTGCATGTGGACTTAATGCTGTATGTCAACAAACAAGGTCACACGTGGAATGTTTATGTCCACCGGGATATGTGGGAAATCCAAACATACAGTGTATTGACATCGACGAATGTGGCTCGAAACCTTGCGCAGAAAATGCTATTTGCATAAACACTCCTGGAAGCTTTAGCTGTATCTGTAAAAGTCGATACGTCGGTAACCCATACGAATTGTGTTCACAAGTATCAATTTCAAAATGTATTGAAGGAAGCATATGCACATGTTCTCATAACGCTACGTGTCCAGATGGATATATTTGTGAAAAATCGAAATGTGTTGATGTATGCCGAAAAATCATGTGTGGTCCTAAAGCAATATGTGAAGAAGGAAGTTGCCAATGCTTACCGGGTCATACTGGTAATCCTAATGATTTACAACGAGGATGCGTTTCAGATAATAGGTGTATGGTTGACGGAGATTGTAAAGATTCAGAAATTTGTTTCCAAATTGCGAAAAACGTTCGAAAATGCGTAGACTCATGTAGCAAGTTGCAGTGCGGACCAAATTCTTTGTGTATAGGAGCAAATCATCAAGCACATTGTATATGTGCGGAAGGATATGTAGGAAAACCTACAGATATAAAAACGGGATGTCATCTGCAACAACGAGAGCCAAATGAAGTAGAATGTAACGAAAATGATGATTGTACAGAACCACAAGTGTGTGTCCCAGTTGATGGATCTACAAATAGGTGCTTAGATTTATGTTCTACTATTGCATGCAGTGCCAATGAATTATGTAGAGTGGTAGATAGAAATGCTCGATGTGAATGTAAAGATGGTTTCCTATGGAATCCGGTTAGCTCTACCTGTGAACAACCGTCTACTCCAGATTGCGTAAAAGACGATGATTGCGATGATAACAAATCTTGTCAAAAAGATGTATTGGGAGTCAATAAATGTGAAGACAATTGTTTATTATATACTTGCCCAGAGAACTCAAAATGTGTCACTATAAACCATAAAAGCCAATGTGTATGCTTAACCGGATTTGTTGGAAACCCAAACGATCGCGATGGCTGCCTGTTACTAAACAAAAATCAATGCACAGACGATGCTCAATGTAGGGAAAGTGAAGTATGTAAAAATATTGGTAATATAAAGAAATGTATACCAGCATGCCAACAACTCACTTGTGGTCCCAATGCCGTCTGTGTCACAAATAATCATGTCGCCAAATGTCAATGCCCCTCTGGACCATTTACTGGAAATCCCAACGATCTGGAAAAAGGTTGTCAATCGGTGCCTTGCATTTACAATGCTGATTGTTCATCGCACGAGCTTTGTAATAGGATGACACATACTTGCATGAGCGTTTGTACTGAAGACTCTTGTGGCGACAACGCTGTGTGTATAGCTGAAAATCATAAAGCCAACTGTCAGTGCCCAAGCGGATACAGAGCTGATCCATTACCGGAAGTAAACTGTAAAAAAATGGAAGTATGTAATCCAAACCCTTGCCATCCAACAGCCATATGTGAACCACGACTCTCATCATATGTGTGTAAATGCCCATTTGGACTCATCGGGGACCCAAAAACAAGTGGCTGCCGAAAACAAGACGAGTGTACTAATGGTGATGAAAATTGTCCATCAGAAGCAGTGTGTGTAAACGGACGTTGCGTCAACCCTTGCGATGGAGCCTGCGGTATAAATTCACTGTGTAAAATAGTTGATAGAAAAGCCATTTGTATTTGTCCTGATGGATACGAAAGCATACCTGGCGGAAATGCATGCAAGAAAAAGTTACTGGTATGTAATAGTGAACTTGACTGCGACGGAGACATTTGTTCAAACGGCCAATGTTTCACTGCTTGCAAAAACTCAAGTCATTGTGACCCCGGCGACTTGTGTTCGAAAAATCTGTGCGTAACACAATGTAATAAAAACACTCAATGTGGAATTGGACAAGCTTGCGTCGGAGGCCAATGTTTGATTGGATGCAGAAGTAATGAAGACTGTCCCAGTGACGAAGCTTGTATCAATAATAAATGCGCAAACCCCTGTTTAGCAACACGAGTATGCGGTCCTAATGCCATATGTTCAAGAATTAATCACAGCACAAAATGCGAGTGCCCGCTTGGATTCGAGGGGGCACCAACACCACAGCAAGGATGCGTAAGGAAACCAAGTTCTTGCGTTCGAACCTCAGAATGCCCACCTGATCATATGTGCATAGGATTGTTATGTCAAGTTCCTTGTCAAGATAATTCAGGTTGTGCTATTGGAGAAAAATGTAGTGACAATAAGTGTCTTAAAATCTGCCATTCAAGTAGTAATTGTTTACATGGGGAGCATTGCAGTTCCGGAGTATGTATAGCTGGATGTAAAACAGAATCCGATTGCTTGAATAATCAAATATGTAAATCGTCAGAATGCCAGTGTTCACCCGGATTTGAAATGGTTGAAGATGAATGTATCAATATTGATGAATGTGGTAACAGTCCATGCCACCCATCGGCACAGTGTGTAGATATTCCTGGATCATTTAAATGTGTCTGTGCAACAGGTGCAGTTGGTGATCCTTACAAAACAGGATGTTTGTTACCAAATCAATGTAGAAATGACAATCAATGTGAAGAATCTCTTGCTTGTTTAAAAGGAAAATGTTCAAACCCGTGTCAAAATAAAGCATGTGGGTTTAATGCTTTATGCTCAGTTGTTAAACATAGAGTAACATGCGATTGTGAAAAAGGCTATTTGGGAAATCCATTCGATAAGAATATTGGATGTTTCAAAGTAGAATGTGTAGAGGATTCCGACTGTTCTGATGATAAATTTTGTAATGCAAAAAATAATAAATGTTCAGGTAAGAATATTTGCAACATATGCTGTGTAGTGGTTAAATTTATATTCTAATATGAAAGAATTAATTCTTAATGTTTTTTACAGACAAATGTGACGAATTTTTATGTCAAGGTGGCACATGCAAAATAGAAGAACACAAAGCCTTATGCAGTTGTCCATTTGGATATGAATTGATTAATAATGTATGTGAAGATGTCAACGAATGCTTGAATAACCCATGTCCTTTGAATTCAAAGTGTCAAAATAGTCCAGGTTCATTTTCTTGTAATTGTGTCAATGGCACAATACTCGACGCGACTAGCGGCAATTGTCGAATTCCTGGTGATTGCTTTTCGGATGATGATTGTTCGGAAAAAACAAAATGCTTTAATAACCATTGCATCAATCCATGTGAAAAACTTTCACCTTGTGGTGAAAACGCTGAATGTATTGTATCTAAACATGAACCAACTTGCGAATGTCCACCAGACAGTCAAGGCGATCCGTACAAAAAATGTATTAAGTTCCAATGCACCAAAGATTCTGATTGCTCGTTACAAGAAGCCTGCGTCAATTATAAATGCAAAAATTCATGCAGCATACCACGAGCTTGTGGAAAAAACGCCAATTGCGAATCAAGAAACCACATAGGGCATTGTTCCTGTTCTCCCGGTTACACTGGAGACCCAGTATTAGGATGTGTTCCAGTTCAAATCTGCACAGATGATAGCAGATGTTCTTCGGGAACCCGGTGTATAGATAACTTGTGTGTTGGTAGGTATCGAACTTTTTTGGAATTATAGTAGTTTTCTTTTTTGGTGTTAATTTATTTATTGTTTAAATTTTTATTCCAGGTTTGTGTAAGAATTCACGTGATTGTATAAACGACCAAGTATGCATACAAGGAACTTGTCGCAGTACATGTGAATCCAATAGCACGTGTCCCGATTTCCAATTTTGTTTAAACAGAATCTGTAGCAAAGAAATGCACTGTACGTCGAATAATGATTGTTCCGATGATGAAATGTGCTCTATGGGTAGAAACGGTATACCACAATGTGTACGCGTGTGCGAAAAACATCCATGCGGAAGGCAAGCTACTTGTGCTGGTCAAAACCACCAAGCTGTATGTTCATGTCGACAAGGATTCTTTGGAGATCCCCTTCAAGGTTGTAAAAGAAAGCAATGTGACTCAGACACGGATTGTTCAGATGACAAATTATGTGATAATAACATGTGCAAAATTGCATGTTTAGTTGGAAACGATTGTAGTGATAATTCGATTTGTTCATCAGAGAAACATAAACATGTTTGTTATTGTCAGCCTGGTTATACGGGTAATCCTTTGAAGGGATGTACTCCAATAAATTGGTGTACTTCAAATCCATGTGGCAACGGTGCCGAATGTAAAAACACGCGAGATCGAGCCCAATGTATTTGCCCGGACGGAGCTGTTGGCGACCCGTATGGGGAAGGGTGTCGCAAGTCACAGGAATGTCGTCTAAACAGAGACTGTCCAGCGGTTGCCCGCTGTACCCTAGTAGATGGCATTAGAAAGTGCACAGGTAACCAGATTATTGTTTTTGGTAATTATAGTAACTCATAATCGATAAGTTATTCGATGGCCTTGACTTTTTTTTCTTTTTCAGACGCATGTGAAAATGTTAAATGTGAGCTTAATGCAGAATGTGTTGCATTACGACATGCAGGACAATGTAAATGCAAAACTGGTTACGTAGGAAACGCTGTAGGAGAGAACGGTTGTCGTCTTCGTGAAATTTCTTGTTCTGGTAAAACTGACTGTCCAAATGATTACTACTGTCACAAAGGAACATGTAAAGGTAAGGAAAACTATATTGTAGACTATGAAATATGTTTCAATAATATAAGTTTTATCCATATACTAGCTTTTGACCGCCCAGGCGAACACAGCTAGTCCAATTACAATATACCAATTTTCACCTCGTAGCATAAAATAATAAATACATGTCTTTTAGGTTTATGTCTCATGGATGAGGAGTGCAGCTCAACTGAAAAGTGTTTCAATGGCCAATGTGTTGAACCCTGTCAAGCTGAAAAGGCCTGTGGGTTGAATGCTTTGTGTCGTACGGAAAATCATGTTTTACAATGTAGTTGTCCATATGGTTTCACGGGCAATCAAGACGTAGAATGTGTAAGAAGTAAGTATCTAAAATTAAATATACTCGTACGTGATGATCGGAATAGAAAATAGCTTTTTTAAAGTGAGTGTTAAAATAAATTAGTCATAGCTATTTTAGTAGTAAGAGTATGTATGTACTAGATTTTTCACTAATCTAATAGGTCTACTCTTTCATTTGAAATATTTTTATGTGTGTTATTTATTTCTAGTGCCAAGACTATGTGGCGGTGCCGGTGAATGTGAAACCGGCTACACTTGTCAAGACTCCATGTGTTTGCCAAATTGTAACATCGACGAAGAGTGCGCTATGAATGAGAGGTGTTCTAAAGGAGTGTGCCTATGTAAGCAATTTTAATATTTGATAATAAATACAAAGGAAAAACCCTAAATGCACAATAAAATAAATGTATTATTTTACAGTAACTTGTCGCGTGGATAATGATTGCTTCCTGGGACATATCTGTTTAGAAAACAGTTGTCAGTATGGATGTAGACATAATGAGGACTGCGGCCCAGAAGAATTTTGTAACAACAATTTCTGTCAAAACCCTTGTTCTACTGATGTTAATCCATGCGGGCCGAATGCACTGTGTACGGTATCTGATAGGAAAGCAACGTGCTCTTGTTTAGAAGATTTAATACCAAACCCCACACCCAACATCGGATGTGTAAGAGCACCATCTCCAACGTGCCGTAAGCATACAGATTGTGCAAATGGTTGGAGATGTGAAGATGATCGCTGTAGACCTGCATGTAACGCAGATAGCTCAGAGTGCTTGCAGGGCGAACGATGTGATTCAGGTGTTTGTCGTTACGCTTGCGCCTCTGACGAACACTGTTCGGATGACGAAGTTTGCGATGGAAGACTATGTATTACGGGATGTAGATCTAATTCTCACTGTGCCAGTAACTTGGCGTGTATATCAGGCCAGTGTGTCGATCCTTGTATTAAACCAGCTGCATGTGGTGCGAATGCTCTTTGTGGAACGAAAGATCATCAACCCGTATGTTCATGTCCCAAATCATTAGTTGGAGATCCAAAATCAGTCTGTCGACGGGTACCCACATCATGCGATTCGAACAAAAACTGTCCTGATGGATTTAGTTGTTATGGCGATACTTGTCACCCGTCTTGCAGAAGGTAAGAAAATGTGCCCTATTTTGTAGTTCAATGCAAAATCATGTTTTCATTTTGAATGTAGCTTAAATATGTAACTCATTTTTTTTAGTGATGTTGTTTGTTTATCCAATGAAAAGTGCATTCGAGGAATATGCAGAGTAGTTTGCAACAGTGATGATGCCTGTAGTGAGGGTCACATTTGCGAAAATAGAATTTGCAAACAAGGATGTCGTGATGATAACGCCTGTGATACTAACCAAGCTTGCATTAATGGTCAATGCAAAGGTAACTAGAATTTGTGATATTTTACTATCGCGTTAATTCAATAAAAACTACGTGTACCTAGTTACTAAATATATATTTTTTTTATAGATCCATGTAAAGACGGCGGTGCTTGCGGCATTTGTTCAGACTGTCAAGTACTTAACCACAGAGCCCAGTGTAGTTGTTCAAGCAATTACACCGGGAATCCACTTGTAGAATGCAAGAGAAAAACATTAGCATGTGACGGATTTTGCCCTTGTGATGATAGCGGGTACTGTGTTTCACTATGTGAAGAGAATAGAGACTGTTCTTGTGGTGAAAAATGCTACAATGGTGGCTGTAGGTTACTCTGCTCCCCCAGAAATAAATGCCCGCAAAGACAATTATGTATAAGGGGTGTTTGTGTACCTGGATGCAGTAGCGATAGGGATTGTGGAGAAGATATGTTATGTTCTTCAAAACTTTGCGTAGATGCTTGCCGAGAAAATTCTTGTGGCAAAAACGCAATTTGTTTAGCAACGAGACACCGAGCAGTTTGCAGTTGTCCCAGTGGATTTTCGGGTGATCCCATAAAAGAATGCAAATCTTATGAATGTCTTAAAAACGAAGACTGCGGAGCAGAAGAAGAGTGCCATGATGATGGAAAATGTAAAAATGTTTGTTCTGGAGCTTGTGGTATTAACGCAATTTGCCGCCCGGTAAATCGTAATCCACAATGCTCTTGTCCTCCAAATTACATCGGAAATCCAAAAATCGAATGTTCGAAGCCTCCAGCTGGCAGTTGTTTACGAAATCCTTGTGGTATAAATTCACGTTGCCGTGATTTAGAAGATGGTAGTTACGAATGCACATGTCCTCCCGGATGTGCTGGCAATCCCCAGAGGCAATGTTTCTGTGGCACCATGGAGCCCTGTGCTTATAAGACATGTGGCACAAATGCACAATGCCGTATCGGACAAAACGGAGAAGTACAGTGCTATTGCCCACGCAATTATCCTAACGGCGACCCTAATATAGAATGTAAGTAACTGTGCTCAGTGAACGGAACTCATTGTTTATTCTGATGCTTACCGTATTGCACCTAATACAGAAAGCATTATATTATAATAACAACGACTTCCATAATAAATTAACTATAATTCATTGTATTTTTAATGTCACCGTGGGCTTCTGACTGACTGTTTCTGTAAACATTTTGTAGGTGCCCTAGAACGTAGCGTGGTAGATTGTCGTACTACCGGGTGTGGTATAAATGGAGAATGTTTAAGGGAAGGTGGAGAATTTGTGTGCCGTTGCATACCTGGTACTGAAGGACAAGCTGATATCGAGTGTCACACCAGTGAGTACGCCTTCATATACCTCAGTCTCATTTGTCTCAACACCATGTATAAATGCACTATGATCTTATAAGTATGAACAATGTGTCACTTGTGGGATTATCACCTTTGATATAGGTATTTCAAAAATGTATGTAAATACAATTTGATTGTACTTTTGCAATTACCAATTGGGCGATGAAGGATATTAATGATTTATAAAGTATCATAGTTAACACCAAGTAGTTGATCTCTATTCATTAATGAACCTCATCCCTAGAAAATGTCCTTGCATTAAACAGTGTAAATTTTACCCATTGTTTTTCGTACAAATATGTTAATTGAAAATAATGGATTATGTAACATATCTGTACAATTAAACTGTATTAATTTATTGACATTAGTGGAAGCATTCTCACCGTTCGTGCTTGATTATCAATCAGTCAGTAACAATTTGTCCGGCTTCATGTACATATCGCTTGTATTATATTCCGTTGTATACATATCTCTGGTCATAAACTATCAGTTTCAAAAAGCATGCACTGTCTCGTGAGAAAGTTTCCTCTTCGCGGCTGAAGGTACCGCTCTTTCGACTCTGCTTTCTTCTTTCACATCTTCCTAGGTGTTGAATGCACGAGCGACAAGCATTGCCCGGTAGACCGCGCGTGCCTCAGCTTGCACTGCGTAGACCCGTGCACGGTGCGCGGTGCGTGTGGCGAAGACGCGCTCTGCGCGCCTTTGATGCACCGCGCTCAGTGCTCGTGTCCGCAGTGCTACGTGGGGCAGCCGCGCGTGGCCTGCCGCCTGGACCCTACTTGCAAACCCACGGCAGACCTAAACTCCACTTTCACATGTTCGAAAACAAAAGAGTGTCCATCAAAACTGGCATGCGACCTAGACAGTAATCAGTGCCGTAATCCGTGCCTGGGCTATCAAAATTGTAGAAGAAACCAAAAGTGCGAAGTTAGAAACCACAAACCTATATGCGTGTGTAAAAATGGCTTTGCATTAAATGAAAAGGGAGAATTGACATGTGCACCGGAACACGCGGAATGTACACGGGACGAACAGTGCCCATCCAACGCAGCATGTCGTAATTCCAAGTGTGTGAATCCGTGTTTGGCATCAAGAGAGCCCGTTTGTCCTGAAGGAAAGCAGTGTGAAGTACAGGAACATCGCGTTGTTTGTATATGCGTAGAAGATTGCCATCCGACACTGTCTATATGCCTAAGAGATAAAGGCTGCCCCAACAATCTAGCGTGTATAGACTTCGAATGTAAAGACCCTTGTAAAGACGCTTGTGGTGGTGCTCCATGTACAGTAGAAGACCACCACCCAGTATGCAAGTTTTGTCCTAATGGTTTCACACACGATGAAAAACGAGGCTGTATTAAAGGTAATTTAAAAGAAAATAGAAACTTCAAATATTAGTGTACCATTTAGTATATTTAGCGACTTATTTAAGATCTTATTAATCTTTATTGTTGTTCTTCATATTACAGGAAATGTTGATAGTTCCTACTACTTCATTCAGTTCTTTCGCTGTTCTATTTCTTTTATTTCCAGCATGTTCATATTTATCTTTCTCCACAGTTGAACTTCTTCTGTATCAGGTAGTTTTCCAGCATGATTATGTCATATATTTTTCAAGCACGTTGTAAATATATTACATTATTTCACATACAACATAACTTTCACTGGGGTGTTTGGTGGTGGATGCATTACTTACTCTAAATGCTTTCAGCGCTTAAGCATTATTATGACATGCAAAAAACTGCCACGAGACAGAGTTTGCAGGATAATTAAAGCGCTTTACAACAAATACTACAATACTTATTTTTATGTTTTTAGTGTTTTTATTGTTATGCAGTAGAATCTTACCAGGTTTTTAATATATGTATATTTTCTTGTGAACTGAATTATACTTATTTATGTTAGGGTATTAAATTTATTAAATTCTATTATAATGCACTTAGCTGAGATTTAAATTTTCAATCGAAAGTAATCTCTTTAAATTTTTTCTGGAATTTTGATATTGATAAATAATTAATATTTATTATTCAAATACTGAATTAGAAAAATCGTAAATGGATGTCACTTGTGATGTATTGTTTACATTTGATTAGTTACCTAAACTTATGTTTAATATATTTTAGTAATCACTTACATGTACCTAATGTAAACAACAAACATTGTAAAACGATTACTGGAATTGTTCTTGTGACGATTACTGGAATTGTCTTGATCAATACGAATACTTAAATAATCAGATCAATCGTTAATCATTTTCCCAACTTAGGACCAAGCTTCTGATTTTCGATTAAATATTACTTGATGGACGACAATGTATTGTGCCGTAATTATAACTCTTCAACTTGTATAATTATTTTGCTGCATACTATAATAATAATTGTGATTGTTTTAATAAGAACAATCGTAACTATCACCACACTATCACTGTGACTGTCATCTGATTTAAAGAGATTGCTAAAACATATCAAACAGGTTTAGTGACAATGTGAACTATAAATCACGAGTGATGTCCCGTAGTTGATCATTGAGTTAGGTATAAAATGTGTTGATGTACTTTATACAGCACTATCGTGCGAGGCTCACGATCACTGCGGGGAAGGCTTGGCGTGCATCGACAGCCAGTGCCGAAACCCGTGCGCACGCGGCGGCCCCTGCGCTCCAGGACATCACTGTGACGTCGTCAACCACCAACCTGTATGCTCTAAAGGTACACCACTACGTAATTTGTACAAGCTTTTGAAAACGTATGATGGCCACGTACATATTTACCCTAAAGCAAGCAATGGTAAATAAATAAAGTGGATGATAAACAGCATTTCTACGGCGAATTAAATTCAATACAATTTAAAGTGTAGACTGACGATGATGGTTATTTTGGAACGAATGGGTTTTGCAGTAAGTTCAATTGATTATAGGTACCAATAAAAAAATTTTTTTCTTTCGCAGTGTGCCAATGTCAGACATCGTCGGACTGCGCAAGATATCCTAACACCTTCTGCGACGGCTGCGCTTGCGTTAAAGGTAGCAGACCAAACTTGTTAACTTTAAGGAAATAAACAAAACCTCTTTCAGTGGGTGCAAGACATCAAACGACTGTACTTTGTATTTGTTTGTGCATGCTTATGATACAATACAAAGAAGATTAGTTAAATTGAATTTAATGATACTAAGTTTTTATTCAAGTCTATTCTTTTCTGTTCAGGAGATCAACCAACAACCAACTGTGCTCATTGTCGCCCTGGTGTGCCCTGTGATCCGTTTTCTGGTGCCTGCATGGAAAGTAAGTCCATTAGAATCAATTTAATAAATATGGTTTACTTAATATCTTAATATTTATTAAACATAACAAAGCTAATTATGATGCCTTTTGTGATATAGCTTACTGTATATTTGGTATCAAGACATACATACCTATACAGGTGGTTATATACTATTGCTCATCATCATTTTCACATAATTGACGTAACGTGGACTCCTACCATAATACGTGAAAGTCCACGTCTGTTTTATATTGTGTGAATAGCAAAACTAACTCCAGATGAACTGGTTGTTGCTATGTTCTAGTGTACCATTTGTCCGATAAAACGCCACAAAATACTGGCAGAATGATATCACGGCAGACCCGGCAGGCAAGATACTGATATTACATTTCTTTGAAATACAATGGGACGTAGATCTGTTATGTAATAGTAGTAGCACCTTTTCTGACTATTAGATGGACTATTCTTCAACACTGAAATATTTATATGTAAGCTGTCATCTAAATATCTTCCTAAACTTTAAGGGATATTCAGATTCTTCCGGAAATTTCTATATTTCTTTCTTTAAATATAGTATTAATATGGCTTCTGCTTGTGACGATGCATATCTATAACTATGTTCTTTGCATGTAAGTAAACAACACCACTTTCCAAAATGTTTATAATTGACATTTCATGTCAGTATGATTAATTTTTAAAGTAACATTTAAATCGCTATTTACTTAAGACGTACTTTTGTTTTCCTATTAACAGATGATCAACCTAAAAATGTCCTACTAACTGAAACACACACCGAATCTACTTTCTTTACGACGGACATAGATACGGAATTAACTGACAGTGCTTTAACAAGTAATTATACGACCTTTTCATATAATGAACAGAAAGTTACGACTATTGCTAGTGAAACAGTTCTTGATGTTACCACTGCATCAACGATTAGTATTTTTGACGAACAGAAAATGATCACAAATCCGAATAATTTGGCTACTACACCAGATACGGAAACTTCAACGTTTGTTACAAAACCGTCAATTGTTATTGAAAATACTGTAGAAATTACGACAGATATCAATACCTCTGCTATTGATGAAACTAAATCGCACACTGACACGTTTGAATCAACGCCTGCTGAAACAAATACAATGCTCTTAAGTCCAGATTTAGAAGCTTTCACAACTATCATGCCGAAAACTGTTGAACATTCAACGACTAAAGACTACTCTGTGGATTCTGAAACAACTATTGTTTCAGTAACGACGGAAGCGACAGTATTATTTACAGAAGAAGATAATCATAGGCCTCATACAACTCTTGATTCCGATGAGCTTATACATAGCGGTAGTACTATTCATGTTGAATCAACCGCAAAACCATCAATTACAAAGCACAATGAAGTAAATGATACGTTTTTATCTTCAAATGATAGTAAGAATACAAAAACACCCGAAAATCAAAGGCAGTTGAATAATTTTACTCAAATTATAATGTCATATCATACAACATCTAAAGAGATAACAGAAAAATCCACAACACAAATATATAAGCCTAGTACAGATTCACCAGAAAAAGTAGATATTTCTGTTACTTATCAGAAAAATAATTTCGGCAAAACAACCGATATGAACAGCCACATTTCAACTACGGATCACACAGAAAAAATCTTTACCACACAATTAGACTCAAATGAAATGTCAACAGCAAACTACTCATCGTTAACTTTAACTAGCGAAATAGAAAGTACTACAATATCAAATAGTGGTGATGTAGAAACGACTTATGGTATTGTAAAATCAAGTACCGAGGAAACAAAAAGCACTGGACACAATTTTAAAACTTCACTAATATTGGACACTACAACCACGCAAGAAGAATTAATAACAAAGAAGACTACTGACATTTACAGTACTTCTAGTGGTGGTTTTGGGGCAAAATCTACTGAATATTTAGAAACCAATGATGAAAATGGAGCAACGATAACATCTAATGTTTTAGATCAATCAACTGGTGGTATCACATCAACGGAATTTGCTGTTACCAGTAGCGAAGAAACTACTTTTACACAATATGATAAAAGTACAACGAGAACAATACCCACTGAGAAAACTACTGAAGAAATTTCCCAAAAGGCAACGATAGATTACGCAACAGACACCGTAAGTTTTACTGGAAATACCGAAAATTTATTAACAACTTCTACGTCCTACCTCCCGAATAGGACCGAAGCAACAACAACTATTTCACCAGTTACAATTGATAATAATAGTCAGAAAAATGCGTATAAGACAACGCTAGACACAATCACTCTTAACAGTGAAGATACACAAACGCTGATGACCACTGATGATACAAATAATAAACTATCACCAGATATAAGTTATAGTACCGAACAAATACAAACAATTGAAGTCGGTACTTCACCTTCAGATTACCTTACAGAAATTACCTTGCTCAACACAGATAAAATATCTACAAGTTTCACCCACACCACTGGATCGTTATCTGAAACACAAACTGTTAAAAGTTTATCAAGCTCCACAGCATCAGTCGACATCGATAATGTTGTTATAATTTCAACTGAGTCTACAATAAATTCAGAACAGATAACAAATAAATTTGATGAGCAATTTACAACTATGAAAACTTCCGATAACAATGATGAAACTAAAACGGTTAATCCATCCACACTAGAAGAAAGTACAATGAAAAGCTCGAAAGAGACTGATGGTTATGATGACTCAGAAACTCATAGCTATACAACTAGTAAATTGACATCAACCACCAGTTCAGTTGATGGTGATGTAGTCGAAACAAAATACATTTCTACGATGGAGGCAACTAGTAGTACAAGTTTGCCTATCACTTCGGATAATTATTTAACTGGATATGATGTAACAGATGACAAAAATCACGTTTATACAACGGAGAGTGTAGAATACTCAGTCAATACTTTGGAAACACAATCCACCACTATATCACCTCCGAGTTTACCTGTTGAAGATGACGTATCGAAAAACCATACAGAAATTTTAAAAACAACAAAAACTGAATCAGAAACTAGTACCATGCAAACTGAAATAACTAAAAACTTATTGCAATCTACCACTATATCACCTCCGAGATTACCTGTCGAAGATGACGTATCGAAAAACCATACAGAAATTTTAAAAACAACAAACACTGAATCAGAAAGTAGTACCATGCAAACTGAAAAAACTAAAAATTTATTGCCTAGTGCAATGACAGAAATTGTTTCCAATAAACAAACAGATTTTGATGTTAGTCTTAAATATACCACTTCTTTACATAAAACAACAACAAATAATCCTATTTCAACATCAGATCACACAATGACCATGTCAGATGTTACTAATGCAGAAAGTAACACACGTGACGCATTGAGCACTATTACGGATATATCTGATACAATCCAATCCAGTACCATTAGCGGGGAAACAACAAATTCTAAACTATATACAAATAGTGTAAGTAAGTCTACATCCCCTAATGATGTTGATTCATATTTAGATACCACCAGTTTACCTAGCAGTGATATTCCAACACAAACCACAGAAAAGTCTGCTGAAATTCCTACTACTGTAATTATTTCAAAGTCAGGTACAATACCGGATCATGATGAGACAAAGCTTGATAATACGTCACATGTTACCGAGACTGTTTTGCCTCTAACAAATACAGATAATGTAAATACAGCTGAAAATAATGTTGAATCTACTGTAGAGAATGCAATTACAACATTACCTGCATTTACAACGGAGGAAACACAAGGAACCAGTAAAATTTATGACAGGTCTACAGATTTCATAACAAAATATGTGACAAATACTTATGAAGAACCACACAAAATAGAAAGTACATCTGAAATTTCTAAACCTGATAAATCCACTGCTTACAGTGAGGGAATTACCGATACATATGGAAAAACTACAGAATATTTCGAAACAACGTCTTACGCTACCACGCAATTATATTCTAAACATGATGGTAATATACAAAGTACTAGTACCGGTAGTAATGATGAAAACACTATAACTAATCAATACATTGTTACTGAAGCAGTTACAGTAACTGTCGATGTAACGAAAAGTGACAGCAGAAATCTGTCTGAAAGTATTACAACTGATGAGTTAAATAATACTACTACTTTTGTACTTCCCAATGCAAGCACCAATACGATATTTGAAGATAAGAGCACACAAAAAATAACTAGCAAAATAGTGATCGATATAAGTACAGAAACATCTACATTACCTTACGATTTAAATAAAGAAAACGAAATAAAAAAGCTTAGTACTGTAGAAATGGTCCCGGTAAGTGAACTTACTACAACAGCAGAAATAGAACTATCCAGCATTCAGGAAAATTATAGTCAAATAATAACTGACAAAGAACAAGTAGAAACAACAACAATGACAGACAGAGAAGTACTTTTAAGTAAAGCTAGTACAAATGACATTCAGATTACTACTATGACTTCAGAAGTAGGCACAAATACACCTTTCATCGATAAAGATGCTATAGAAAATGATAGCATGAATAATACTGAAACTGAAGAAAAGCCCACAGAGAGTTTAATATCAGTTACCAAATTTGTTACTGTTAGTGATATAAATATTACAGAAACAAGCACACAAATACCTACAACAGATACTTACATTGAAAATACAAGTGACACTGACAAAACTGATGAAAATAATGGGCCTTCTATAACTTCCACTGTTAATTTAGAAAATAGCATATCAACTACATATGAGAAAATTACAACTGACACTGCGCAAACTATAACAACTCCAATAATAGTACCTATTTCTTTACCTGGGCGAGATTCTATTAGTACCACAGAGATGAGTATTAAATCAACCACAAGCCAAGTCGATGGTACGATAATGACTACTGAAAATGAAAATGCAGTAACTATAACGGAAAGTGATTTAATTAACACAGATTTAATTACTAGAAATATAAAAGAAATGATAACTTCATCTGTAACAGTAGAAAGAACTTTAGAAACCTCATCGAAATATGATCACGATAATAATGAAAAAACAACGGAACTTACTTCTATTGTGACGGAATTTCGTGTAAATGAAAACTTTTCGACTTCCAGTACTACTGACTTAAATATAAAAGTTTCTACAACAAACGTTGATAGCACACCAACTAGTAATCACTCTGTTAATGTACCTAATGTTAGCACGTCTACGGATAATTTGTCTTCTCGTAGTAAAGATGTTGATATTTTCGCTTGGACTGAATCGACAACTACACCTGACTTGACTTCGACTGAGACAAATTTAAAGACTGACATACATAACAAAAGGTGTGATATTAATTCGCACTGCCCGCTGGATAAAGCCTGCTTGAATGGAGTATGCCAGAATCCGTGCGAGGTGGCGCCAAGTCCATGTACAATAAGCACACCCTGTAAAGTAGTCGACCACGCCGCTGTATGTGTGTGCGATCATGAAGCTGGGGACTTCTGTAGAAGAGGTATGCTACAATAAATATTTTGCGTACCAGGTTCCGTTAATTTCAAGTTTTTTATATCAAAAATATAGATTCGATTTAAATATTTTAGTGTATTTTTCATGGTTGTTTTATCGGACAAATGTATGTACAAAAAATGTCTAATCTGATTGTATGTTGTATTTGAACCTACTAAGAAGTACCTAATTGTATATAAGTATTTTGTACTTTTAATCCTAACATACTAATATCATTGTAACATTAACATACTAGAATCACCTGGGACACCTAAAGCACCAGAACCTTGTCAATCTGATCGGGACTGTATAGAGAGTGAAGCCTGTTTTATGGGAATATGTCAAAACCCTTGTGAATTTAACATGTGTGGTACTGGAGCCAACTGTCAGCCAGTACTGCAAAGGCCTATGTGCTCATGTCCCGCTGGATATGATGGAGATCCGGCTGTTAAATGTTCTCCTAAAAAAAGTAAGCTCACACCTAACTATAATATAACTAATAGATATTCCACGTTCATTTGAATGACTTAATGACTAAGTAAATATAAAGCAGTTAATATTAATTTAAAATACTAATTTGTAATTTAATTGGTTATGGCATTTGTAATAAATTGTAAATAATAAATTATTTAAAAATCAAGTTCCCTTAAAGATTAGATAAATGAAGAATTCAAAATAATTTGGTTGTAAATTTTTTTAACACTTTTTTATTTGAGTAAGTGGTTTCTATAATGTATATTTATATTTTACCACCCAGTTGGTTGCACTCGAAATGAAGATTGTCAATTGACTGAAGCTTGTATAAATAATGCATGTCAGCACCCATGTGCTATACACAATCCCTGCGCACAAAACGCTGTCTGTATAAACACAAATCATGGCTCGGATTGTAGCTGCGTTGAAGGATACCAAGGGAACGGGTACGTCGGCTGCGTGCCAGGTAAGAATTTATACATACAACTTGGAATACAAGGTAATTATAGTTAAGAATGTGCTCAGAAAACTAACTTAAGAGTATTTTTTTTATAGTTAATGATAATAAGTCAGTATGTCAATATAATGAAGACTGTCCACCTGAGTTGTTGTGCGATAGACTGAACAGAGTATGTATAAACCCATGCACAATGAACAAATGCGGAGACAACGCAGAGTGTATTCCTGCTAAACATGGAATTGAATGCAAATGCTACGCTGGATATACTGGAAATCCGTTCCTAGAATGCTATCAAGGTACATAATAATCATTATATTTAATTAATTTATAATAGTGTTTATACAGTACATAATATTTTTTACAATCCAGTAAAGGCCTGTAACAATGGATTCTATGTTTATTTTATTTTGCAGTCCAAGGTTGCAGAACTGACAATGAATGTGCAAATTCGGAGGCTTGTATAAATGGTAAATGCGGCTCTCCATGCCGTTGTGGCGCAAATGCAATTTGTGACGTATTGAATCATCGCGCTACATGCAAATGCCTCCCAGGCTATAACGGAAATCCAACACTTGGTTGTGAACCACCGAGAAACCCTTGTATCCCAAACCCATGTGGAATTAATGCTTTGTGTGAAAGTGATAGTGGGAATCCGATTTGCTATTGTCCTAAAGGACTAACAGGAAATCCCTTTAAAAACTGCAGTAAGTAGAAAACGTATCTTGGAATGTTTTGGCACGAAGCACAGGCCTTTTATTTTAATTATAAGAATTTAAAAGATATAACTAATTATTAATATTAACGCAAAAAAAATTGCACTAAACATATACATAACTTAGCAACCCGCCCTAAGTTTCGCTATTAAATAAACTCGACCTTAATATAGACCCTAGAACTAGATCATTTATATATGATGTAATATTTCAGTTCCAGAAGGAAATGAATGTGAACCAAACCCGTGCGGACCCTACTCTGGATGTCGATTAATAGATAACCGCCCGGCGTGTTTCTGTTTGCCAAATTACGAAGGGAATCCACCTGCAGAGCCATGTAGACTTCCAAGCAACCCATGTAACCCATCTCCGTGTGGCCCTAACACTCAATGCACTGTATTATCGAATGGATTTGCTAAATGTACTTGTTTAGATGGATACATAGAGAGTCCCAACACAGTTCGAGGTTGTATTGAAGCACGAAACCCTTGTGAGCCAAATACTTGTGGTATCGGAGCACGTTGTGATCCCAACAGAACTCCCGCTTGTTATTGTCCAGATAGTACAGTGGGTAATCCTTATAAATCATGTAACAAAGGTTATCTTCCTCCTGCCATTCTATGCCAACCAGGGCCTTGTGGACCTAACGCAGATTGTTATGTGAGCAGTAACACAGAAATGTGTTTCTGTAAAACTAATTTTATTGGGAATCCATATACAGGCTGCCAACCAAGAAGTAGTCCTTGCACTCCAAATCCTTGTGGTCCTCAAGCCATTTGTGATACCAACTATAATGGACAAGCAGTATGCACATGCGTTGAAGGTAGCTCAGGTGATCCATATGGTGTAAACGGGTGTCATTCAAGGGAATGTGAAGTAGACACTGACTGCAGTAAAAATAAGGCTTGCATTGGATATACCTGCCGTGATCCATGCCCAGGAGTATGTGGTTTAAATGCTAAATGTCATGTAGAATTACATCGTCCTGTTTGCACTTGTGAAGATGGACTTATAGGCAATCCTTTTATTTGCTGCTTACCGCCGGAAGATCAAAAATCAATAAGACCATGTAATAAAGTAGAGTGTGGAATTAATGCAATGTGTCAAGATGTAGGGGATGAGGCATTATGTCATTGTCCTCCTGATTTCTTTGGAGATCCAACAGTTGAATGCAAACCACAATGTTTGATGAATTCAGACTGCCCATCTAACGAAGCTTGCGTAAATAACAAATGCCAAGATCCATGCACTTTGAACAATATTTGCGGAATTAATGCAGTTTGTTTGTGTTCAGACCACACTGTTTCGTGTTTATGTCCTGATGGATACATCGGAGATCCGATGACACAATGTATCTATCGACGTAAGTATAAAGATTGCCCATTTAACACAGTAGTTATATTTATAATTGTTTGTATTTATTACCACCTTTTTTTCCTTACAGCAATACTAATACCACCAGACAACACGACAAGTCAACCATGTTCACCAAACCCATGCGACCCAAATGCACCGTGTGATACCTACGGCAATCAGTTTGCGATTTGTGACGCTTGTGTTGGCCCTGACTCAGTGAATAATCCTGCATGCAGACCAGAATGCATACTGAGTTCAGACTGTGCATTCAATAAAGCTTGTTTAAGAAACAGATGTGTGGACCCCTGTCCAGGATCTTGTGGTATCGATGCAGAGTGTATGGTTTATCATCATGATCCCATTTGCCGATGCCCCAAAGGATTCCAAGGAAATCCCTACGAGCTTTGTAAACTAACAACAAATCGTAAGTTTAATATATTATACTTAAGTTTAGTATAATGTTTATACCTTGCGGATTACAAAGAGCTAATTTAATATTTTTCTTCCAGCTGTGGAACAAGAAAACTGTGACAATGTCCGGTGTGGAGATAATGCCATCTGCCAGGAAATAAATGGTGCACTAACATGCACATGTTTACCAAATTTCTTCGGAAACCCATATTTGTCTTGTCGTCCTGAGTGCGTTGTAAATAGCGATTGTTCTCCTGATTTAGCATGTTTAAATAACAAATGCGAAGACCCCTGCCATAATGTATGTGGCTTGGGAGCATTATGTAAAACAGTCAATCATCACGCAGTTTGTTATTGTGAACCGGGATTCACAGGAGATCCTTACATTAGATGTCAAAGTACACCAATTACTCCACCTGTTTTATCAACTTGTGATCCATCGCCATGTGGTCCGTACAGTCGCTGTCTTATATCACCTTCTGGATTTGCAGTCTGTTCATGCTTACCAGGACACCGAGGAGTTGCGCCCATGTGTCAACCTGAATGCGTGAGCAATTCCGACTGTCAACAAACGGAAATATGTGTCAATCAAAGATGTTCAAATCCATGCCAAGGTAGTTGTGGTGTCAACGCAGAATGTATTACAATAAATCATAATCCCATATGTAGCTGTGGCGCCAAAAGAACCGGAGATCCATTCGTAGCGTGTACAGAAATTACAGACGAGCCTGTTCAAAGAAATCCATGTGTACCATCTCCATGTGGACCAAATTCAGTGTGTGAGGTCGTATCTGACCGACCAGTCTGCTCATGTCGACCCAATTATTCGGGAACGCCACCTTATTGTAGACCAGAATGTGTTATAAGTCAAGAATGTCCATCTCACCAGGCTTGTATCAACGAAAAATGCGTAGACCCGTGCACAAATGCATGCGGAAACAATGCAAAGTGTAACGTTGTTAACCACACACCATTATGTAGTTGCCTGGAAGGGTACAAAGGTGACGCATTTGTTGGATGTGTTGCAATACCAATAGTAGACATTAAAACACCATGTGAACCATCGCCCTGCGGAGAAAACACAATATGTACTGTTGTAAATGATGTTGCACGCTGTTCATGCATACCACCAAATATTGGAAATCCCTATGCAGGTGGTTGTAGACCTGAATGTTCTATAAATTCTGACTGTCCTAATCATCTGGCCTGTTTATCAAATCACTGTCGGGATCCCTGCAAAGACCTATGTGGTGTGAATGCTGAATGTACAGTTACCAATCACGTTCCTGTTTGTACATGCTTCAAGGGTTATGAAGGAAATCCGTTTTCGTCATGTCGCGAAGAATATAAGCCTCCATGTAAGTTTACATTAATCTTAAAACTTCGCATGCTATAATTTAATATTCAATTTAATTAGCATTACATAAAAACGCAATTAATATAATGCCTGATTAACGTTTATTTTTAGATCCTCCATTGAATCCTTGTGAACCATCGCCATGTGGACCAAACAGCGAATGTAACGTCGTTAGTGATCGCCCTGTTTGCGTTTGCCAACCCGGATTCTTAGGCGCGCCTCCCGCATGCCGCCCGGAATGTGCTGTGAATTCAGATTGTCCAGCGAACAAAGCTTGCATCAATCTCAAATGCAAAGATCCTTGTGTACATAGCTGCGGTTTGGATGCAAGATGCCATGTGGTCGGTCATAATCCAATTTGCACCTGCCCTGAAAATCTTCCTGAAGGCGATCCTTTCATCAGATGTTTCCGAAAAAGTGAGTTTATATAGATATTGTTTAACCTACCTTTAAAAACTGAAACTTTTGTAATATGTTAATTTTACTGCATTGATTTGGACCTTGAAACTTCGTTACTTTATTATTATATCTAAAGTGTTAAACCAGTTTTGGTGAATTATTGGACCTGGGAGTAGGGCATACTCATAGTACAAATAAAATGTTTTTGATTCCGGGAAGAATGATAGATAAATACTTCCTGTCCTAAATCGAAATCCATGCAAATAAAAATATTTTTGAGAAAGCAACTGATTAATTAAATAATTCCTCGTAAAATATTTGATAACATCACTATCACTATGTTTACACAAAATTGTATTTTTGTGCAGATATTTCGTATCCAGCTCCTGACCCATGTCTTCCATCTCCCTGTGGACCGTATTCTACATGTCGCAACGTCAATGGTAGAGCAACCTGCTCTTGTGAACCAGGCATGCTTGGTGCCCCACCAACATGTCGGCGACAATGTGTCATCAATCAAGACTGCCCTCTAGCACTCGCCTGCCTCTCTGGTTCTTGTGTCAACCCCTGTGTTGGATCCTGCGGTTTCAACGCTCGCTGTATAGTGCAAAATCACCAGCCAATATGCTCTTGCGACGACGGCTACTCCGGAGATCCGTTCGCTGGTTGCAGTCGTACTGAGGGTGAGTATTCTACTTATTTATGCCAGATTCTGCACCTCGATATTAGTACGTGTAGTTTAGTATACATTTTGCATGTTGTTTTATATTCTTGTAGTAGCATGATATTTGTAAATCATTTTCAGTTCCAAAAGATCTGCCACGTCATCCTTGTAATCCATCACCATGTGGACCTAACGCCATATGTCGTGAGAGAGATGGTGCTGGTTCATGTACTTGTATAGATGAGTTTTATGGCGACCCGTACTTAGGTTGCCGCCCAGAATGTGTCATGAACACTGATTGCGCTATGGATAGATCTTGTTTCAATAACAAATGTGTGGATCCTTGTTCTGGCGCTTGTGGACAGAATGCTGAATGTAGAGTCACAAACCACGCACCATCATGTTCTTGCTTGCCTGGATATAATGGAAATCCTCTTCATGCATGTACTCCTGTTCCGAGTAAGACTTTCTTTCTATACTTTCAATTTATTTTTCTTATTCTAATTTATTCTGTATACTTATCTTTCTCCTTTCAAATTACCTTTAGTTCTTCAAGAACCTGTGAATCCATGTCAACCTTCGCCTTGCGGACCGTACAGCAAATGTCGTATCTTTAATGGGCATGCTGTATGTACGTGTTTGGATATATGTGTCGGTTCTCCACCAAATTGTCGACCGGAATGTATAGTTAGTTCTGATTGTCGATCTGACAAAGCGTGTATTAATCAAAAATGTCAAGACCCATGTGCCGGAATGTGTGGTATCGACGCTCAATGTCAAGTTGTAAACCATAACCCAATCTGCAGTTGTTTGAACGGATATACCGGTGATCCATTTGTTAAATGCTTCATCGACAGTAAGTTTTATTTAATTTAATACGTTATTATATTTTTCAAGACTTTAACTAATTATGAGACTAAATTGATTATTTTTATTATTTATCAGGACCGATGATCCCTATAAATAGTTGCATTCCCAGTCCATGTGGTCCTAATTCTCAATGCAATGAAGTAAACGGTGTACCAGTTTGTTCATGTCTACGCAACTACGTGGGTCGCCCTCCTAATTGTAGACCGGAATGCGTCATAGATGTCGAATGTCCAGGAAATTTAGCTTGTATATCAGAAATATGTAGCGACCCTTGTCCTGGTTCATGCGGATTTCATGCAACTTGTACTGTTGTGAAGCACGTACCAATTTGTACGTGTGATCATGGATATACTGGAGATCCCTTCTCTGGCTGCTCAGTCGTGCCACGTAAGTGGAAACTTTATAAGATTATAGTTGTGGTTTTACTTAATCCTTTTGACTAACTTACTTAAAAAACATATTTTACTTTTTAGCAATTGAACCTCAAGTAGTCAGTCCATGTTCGTTATCTCCTTGTGGAGCGAATGCAGTATGCAAAGAAAGACACGGCATTGGGTCATGTTCATGTTTGCCTGATTATTATGGCGATCCTTATATTGAATGCCGACCTGAATGCGTATTAAATTCAGATTGTCCCAAAGACAAAGCTTGCGTTAATAACAAATGTAAAGATCCATGCCCAGGAGTCTGTGGCATGTATGCAGAATGTCGCGTCAATAATCATGCTCCATCGTGCGCATGTTTACCTGGATATGAAGGAAATCCGTTCACATCTTGTTACATAAGTATGTATCAACAAATATTTTAAATAACACCTATAAGGTTTTAGCTATGTAGTCATTTAAAATATTTTACTTTTTAGGGAACAACGATATTCCGACTGACCCGTGTTCTCCTTCGCCATGCGGCCCCTACAGTATATGTCGCGTAAGCGATTCACATGCGATATGCTCATGCCAAGAGCAATATTTCGGATCACCACCATTTTGCCGTCCAGAATGTATGGTCAGCAGTGAATGTATGCCAAATAAAGCGTGTATTAATCAAAAATGCGTAGACCCATGCATTGGAGCATGTGGCAATAATGCCAAATGCACTGTAGTAAATCACAATGCTTTATGCAGTTGCCCGCAAAATTACATTGGAGATCCGTTTGTGCAATGCACTTTTGAAAAACGTAAGTTTTAAATATTACTAATGAAATCTAACATAAAAGTAATAATTTTGTTAACAAATACTAAACAGAAATAATTTTAGGACCGGAACCTAGACCTTCTGCCAACCCATGTGTTCCTTCACCTTGTGGACCAAATTCGCAATGTCGCATAGTAGGAGAAACGCCTGCTTGTTCATGCCAGCCAGGGTATATTGGCAGAGCACCTAATTGCCGCCCAGAATGTATATATGACGAAGAATGTCCAAGCAATCTTGCATGTATACGTGAAAAATGTGTAAGCCCATGCGAAGGATCTTGTGGATCAAATGCTGAATGTGTCGTCATTAATCATAAAGCTGTTTGTCACTGCCGGGAGAGCTATACTGGTGATCCATTTAGTGGTTGTCGTTTTATTGGTGAGAATCTTGATCTTTATACATAACTTATTTGATACGTTTATGGTCAAAGAAATCCAATAATAAAAGTTATGTTTTGTTTTTAGTGACTATACCCAATGACGAAGATACAAATCCATGTAATCCATCTCCATGCGGCCCTAATTCACTTTGCACAGAAAGAAATAACGCTGGTGCTTGTACATGCCAGCCAGGATATTTTGGAGATCCCTACCTTGGCTGCCGCCCTGAATGCGTAACAAATAACGATTGTCCACTAGATAAATCGTGTTCAAATAACAAGTGTATTAATCCATGTCAAGGAGCATGTGGAATTAATGCTCAGTGTACGGTAGCCCATCATACACCAGTTTGTTTGTGTATTGAAGGTTACGAAGGAAATCCTGCTAGCTCATGTCATCCACAGCGACAGCGTTAGTAGAATTCACAAACTTTAAGTACATTTTTTTTTCATATTTTACGTTATTAACACTGTTGTTGTTTATTATAGCGTCTCTAGCAGATGTTAATCCATGCGTGCCATCACCTTGCGGACCTTATAGTACATGCAAAGAAATAAACGGGCATGGCGTATGTTCATGTCAAGACGGTTATAGTGGATTGCCACCTACTTGTAGGCCAGAGTGCGTAATCAGCACAGATTGTCCACAACATCAAGCATGTATACGACAGAAATGTAAAGATCCATGTCCTGGAACGTGTGGAGTCAATGCTAGGTGTCAAACCATTAACCATAATCCGATATGCACCTGTAAAGCTGGCTTCACAGGCGATCCATTCGTTACATGTCATTTAGACAAAAGTAAGGGTAAACTTCATCAAGTATATAATACATTTCAAATTGAGTATTATTGTTATAAATTAAAACAATGTAATAAAATTGTAATGTTAACAAATATACACAATGAAAGTTTTATTTTTTATGTAAAAACCAGTCACTACTCGTATTTTCAATCACTTTTGTTTTCTATGACTATTTCTATATTGAACTTTCTTTTTTTATTCTGTTTTCTTAAATTATGTGTGCTATGTTCTTAATTTCTCTTATTTTCTTTCTTAGAACCTATCTCTATGGGGCCTAAAGGAAATCCATGTGTACCTTCACCGTGCGGTCCTTATTCACAATGTAAAGTAGTTGGAGAAGCGCCTGCATGTTCATGCTTACCAAATTATATAGGTGTTGCACCAAACTGTAGACCAGAATGTTCTATCAATGCAGAGTGTCCTGGTAATCTTGCATGCCAAAATGAAAGATGTGTAGATCCATGTCCGGGTTCTTGTGGTTTCAATGCTGAATGTTCTGTAGCAACTCATGTAGCGTTATGTAATTGTATACCAGGGTATACAGGTGATCCATTTAGCGGATGCTCAGAAATAGAACGTAAGTTTTAAATTGTGTATTAGTCGTACTACACACACCCAAATATGTTAAGTTTAATTTATATAATCAAAACATGTATTATGTTCACAGGTGTGTCAGAACCGCCACCAAATCCTTGCAATCCATCACCATGTGGGGCAAATGCATTATGTAAAGAAAGAAATGGGATTGGTTCTTGTACATGCTTACCAGAATATTTCGGAGACCCATACACGGGATGTCGACCTGAATGTGTATCAAATTCGGATTGTGATCGTAATAAGGCATGTTCAAACAATAGATGTAAAGATCCATGCCCAGGAGCTTGTGGCATTAATGCTGAATGTAGAACTGTTAATCATTCACCTATTTGTACGTGCCTTACTGGTTACAGTGGTAATCCGCTCGTAAGATGTGAAGTAGAAAGTAAGTTATAATAACCTACTAATTTATCAACGAACTTTGTTTTCCTGTTTACCTATTTACCTTTGAAATAATGTTTCTTGATTTTTGTTTTAGTTAAAGTTGTAAACATTGATCCCTGTCAGCCTTCACCTTGCGGACCAAACAGTCTCTGTCGAGTGGTAAATGGGCATAGCGTTTGTACTTGTGATAATGGATATATTGGGACACCGCCATCATGTCGCCCTGAATGCATTGTCAGTTCAGAATGTCCTCAAGACAAAGCCTGCGTTAACAAGAAATGCATTGATCCTTGCCCGAACACTTGTGGCCTTAATGCTCGTTGCCAAGTCATAACGCATAATCCAATTTGTAGTTGCACACCAGGATATACCGGTGATCCGTTTACAAGATGTGATTTGGAAGGTATATTATAATTAATTATTTATCGATATGAATCGACATTAATAAATTGCTATAAACTGAATTAAATTAAATACTATCTATACTTTTAAATTGTTGTTATAAGTATTTTGTTAATCGTTTCAGGAAAAATTACCAATACTACCTGTTCGCCATCGCCTTGTGGGCCAAATTCAGAATGTCGAGTTATTGGAGATCAGGCTGCTTGTTCATGTTTACCTAATTACATAGGAAGGGTTCCAAATTGTAGACCAGAATGTACTATAGATGCTGAATGTCCTAGCAATACAGCATGTATAAATGAGAGATGTAAAAACCCATGTCAAGGAGCTTGCGGAGTGAATGCTATATGTTTGACAGTTTATCATAAACCAGTTTGTAGTTGTCAGGATAGGTATACTGGAGATGCTTACACAAATTGCATTGAAATTGTTATGCCAGGTAAAAAATTAAATGTGTTGTTTATTTTTTTTTATAAATCTTTTAGTTAAGACTAATTTTGTTTCTATTAACAAAATGAAATATTTATAGAATCGGCAGTGACACCATCATCTAGTCCATGTTCTCCATCCCCTTGTGGACCAAATGCTGAATGCCGTGAGCATAATGGAGCTGGTGCGTGTGTTTGCTCCGAAGGATATGAAGGGGACCCTTACAGTCCTCAAGGTTGCCGTAGGGAATGTGAAAACAACGATGAATGCTCGCCAAACCTAGCATGTATAAGATTTAAATGTATTGATCCATGCCCAAGAACGTGTGGTCAAATGGCGCAATGCATTGTTGAAAATCATGTTCCTATTTGCACTTGTCCAAGAGGGTATTCAGGAGATCCATTCTTTGAATGCAAGCGAATAGTTTTACCACGTAAGTTAAATGAATTCTATATCTATAGATTTTATTTTTCATTTTATAAAAGCACAGTGATATTCTAAATAAGTAGGTTTTATGATGTTTTTAAAACTTTAAAAATTATTTTTAGCTGCTCCTCCACAATCACCATGCGAACCTACTCCTTGTGGACCAAATAGTGTATGCCAACAAATAAATATGCAAGCAGTTTGTTCCTGCCTTCCTAACTACGTAGGATTACCGCCTTCATGTAGACCGGAATGTGTGGTCAATAGTGAATGCGACACTTCAAAAGCTTGCATAAATCAAAGGTGTGACGATCCTTGCCCCAATACTTGTGGATTACGAGCTCACTGTTTAGTGAGAAACCATAACCCAATATGTACATGTCCTGGAGGCATGACAGGAGATCCATTCACTCAATGCTATCGTGAGTTGAGATATTTTTTTATATCATTTATGAAATCTATAATATAAATTATCTGATAGTAATATAAGAATTCATGTTATTTTAGCGATTGAACCAATCACAGAACGTCCACCATCTTGCACACCATCACCATGTGGACCTAATTCCCGATGTCAATTATTAGCTACCGGTCCAGCTTGTTCGTGTTTACCAGGCTATACAGGATCACCGCCTGCTTGTAGACCTGAATGTACTATCAATTCAGAATGTCCCGCATCATTAGCGTGTCTTCGCCAGAAATGTGAAGATCCATGTCCAGGATCATGCGGTATTGATGCCAACTGCCATGTTCTCAATCATGTAGCAGTATGTGTTTGTAACGAGGGCTACACTGGTGATCCTTTCACTAGATGCTTAGCTATAACTGAAGGTAAGTTACAAGGTGGTTCCCAAATACATTTATTTAGAAAGTTTAATATTTTAGATTTATAACATTTCCGTTGTGTTTTTTTTAGATCCGACGACTGCTATTCCATCAGATCCATGTAATCCATCACCTTGTGGTCCGAACGCCCAATGTGATAATGGTTTATGTACTTGCTTATTAGACTACACCGGAAACCCATATGAATCATGCAGGCCTGAATGTACAGGAAGTCAAGAATGTCCAAGAGATAAAGCTTGTTTTAGAAATAAATGCCGTGATCCTTGTCCTGGAGTGTGTGGTCAAAATACTAAATGTGATGTTATAAACCACATACCAACATGTTCATGCATCGCAGGCTTTACAGGCAATCCGTTTATACATTGTCAACCTATAGAAGATAAACCAGCTCCAAGAAACCCTTGTAATCCATCAATTTGTGGACCAAATAGTTTATGCAGACTGACATCAAATAATACAGCAGCCTGTGCTTGCATTGAAGGCTTCCAGGGATCTCCTCCAATGTGTAAACCGGAATGTGTTGTTAGTTCTGAATGTCCATCTACGAAAGCATGTATCAACCAAAAATGCATTAATCCGTGTATCAATGCTTGTGGGGTCTCAGCAAGATGTGAAGTGATCAACCATAGCCCAATTTGCAGTTGTAATCCAGGACAAACTGGAGATCCATTTAAGAACTGTTATGATGTTGTACAAACACCACCGGAACCAGTGGACATATGTAATCCTTCGCCTTGTGGTCCAAACTCTCTTTGCATCGAAAGAAACGGAAAACCGAAATGTAGATGTGTCGATAATTATATTGGTCAGCCACCAAATTGCCGACCAGAGTGTGTAATTAATTCAGACTGTCCGTCTAATCAAGCTTGTGTAATGAGTAAATGTATAGATCCATGTCCTGGTTCATGTGGCATAAACGCTGATTGTATAGTTGTTAGTCACATGGTCTCGTGTATTTGTAGAGAAAAATATACAGGCAATCCATTCTTGCAGTGTATACCACATGAAGGTAATTATCTTTTTTTCTTCATGCACTTTGGATGATAATAATGTATAAAATAAATAATCTTTTTTTACATTTATTTTACAGAAATTGTAGCACAGCCATGTGATCCATCACCTTGTGGCGCAAACGCAATCTGTAATCAAAGAGACGGTGCTGGTTCTTGCTCATGTTTGGAGGGCTATCAAGGTAATCCTTACGAAGGCTGCCGCCCCGAGTGTGTATTGAGTTCAGATTGTTCTGCTGACAAAGCTTGTATAAGAAACAAATGTGCGAATCCATGTCCTGGAATCTGTGGTGCAAATGCTGAATGCTCAGTAATTAATCACGTTCCTTCTTGCGCTTGTATAACTGGTTATTCTGGAAATCCTTTCGAGCAATGTAAGATAAATGAAGTAGTAGAACGCAGTAGACCCTGTCAACCATCGCCTTGTGGTCCTAACAGTATTTGCAGAGAAAATGGAGGATTAGCATCTTGTGAATGTCTTCCTGACTACAGAGGTGCTCCTCCAGATTGTAGACCAGAATGTACTGTTAGTAGCGAATGCCCATCAGATCGCGCCTGCCATAGAATGAAATGTGCTGATCCTTGCCGAGGAACTTGTGGTATTGGTGCTCACTGCCAGGTTATCAATCATAGTCCACTGTGTAGCTGCCCAATAGGTACCAGCGGTGATCCATTTACAAGGTGCTATGAGTTGCCTGATACGCCACCTCCAGTGCAAACACAGCCATGCCAACCTAATCCTTGCGGACCCTACAGCGAGTGTCGTCCGGTTAATGGCAATCCATCATGTTCGTGTAGCCCAGGATACACAGGGATTCCACCAAATTGTCACCCTGAATGTCTTGTAAATACTGATTGTCCATCACATCAAGCATGTATTGCAGAAAAATGTACTAACCCATGCGAAGGTTCATGTGGATTCAGAGCAGAATGCCGCGTACATAATCACATACCATTATGTAGTTGTCCTACCGGATATTCTGGAGATCCATTTATACAGTGTATGGAAATAATAGGTAAGAATTGAATATCCATTTATGACAATTTGTTAATTCATTTCGTAAAAAATATTTTGGGCAATGAACTATTTTATTTAATGTTCGATAATTTATTTTATCAATTATTATTAATTTGCTTAGTAAACTATGTTAGAATTTAATCATAATATTTTTTTGATTTTCAGTTCCTCCACCATCTTCTACTGACCCATGTAATCCATCACCTTGTGGCAGCAATGCCAATTGTGATGCAGGCGTTTGCACATGTGCAACTGGATACTTCGGTGATCCATATGCGGGTTGTCGTCACGAATGTTCAACTAATGGGGAATGTTCGCCAACGCGAGCGTGTCAAGGAGGACACTGCATTGATCCATGTCCAGGGGCTTGCGGAACAGGCGCTCGGTGTACAGTTAACAACCACATTCCATCGTGTACCTGTCCATCTGGTACCTCTGGAGATCCGTTCTCCTACTGTACAGAAATAGTCCCGCCTACTGATGGTAAGTGACTTATAACTGACGTATTTTTTTTAATAATACATTTTATCAATATTATTTTATTACATACTAGCTTTCCGCCCGCGGTTTTGCCCGCGTGGAATTTTGTCTGTCACAGAAAAACTTTATCGCGCGCGTCCCTGTTTCAAAAACCGGGATAAAAACTATTCTATGTCCTTTCCCGGAACTCAAATTATCTCTATGCCAAATTTCATCAAAATCGGTTCAGTGGTTTAGGCGTGAAAGCAAGACAGACAGAGTTACTTTCGCATTTATAATATTAGTATAGATAGTATAGAACTATAGATAATACGAGTACATAATGTGTACTTTGGCATTTTAGTTCCAGGACGATCAGCATGTTCGCCATCACCGTGTGGTCCTTACAGCGAATGTACAGTAAGCGCAAATGGAGCTGCGGCTTGTTCTTGTCGCGCCGGACATATTGGCTCACCACCTTCATGCCGCCCTGAATGCCTTGTCAGTTCCGAATGTAAACTGCAACAAGCCTGTATTGACCGCCGATGCCGCGACCCTTGTGAGGGGGCGTGCGGTCGCGGAGCCCAATGTAATGTTATTGCCCATTCACCAATTTGTACTTGCAATGATGGATATACTGGGGATCCATTCACTTATTGTTATCCGGCACCAGGTACATACTTATATTATTTTTATTGTTTTTACTCAATTTTAAATCTCCACAGAAATTGAAATTACGATTGGATATTACAGCACTTCCTGAGCAGCCAGTTAATCCATGTGAGCCGTCGCCTTGTGGACCAAACTCTATCTGTGTAAAATCTGGAGAAACACCGGCATGTAGCTGTCAGCCTGGATATATTGGAAGCCCACCCAACTGCCGCCCTGAATGTACTATAAGCGCAGAATGCCCAGCCGCCTTTGCTTGCGTCGCATTACGGTGTAAAAACCCGTGCGAACAGGCCTGCGGCCCGAACGCAATATGTTCAGTCGTAGACCATCGTGCGACTTGTGCATGCGAACCAGGTCTAGAGGGTGATCCATTCCAGGGTTGTTCCCCGCCAAGAGGTAAGAAAAACAACATAAAAAATTTAAACTTCACGCGTTCGTTTTATAGTTTTATTGTAATAAAGAATTATAAAAAATGCAAAAACGATAAAATTGAAAGAAATACACGAAAAAAAAGGTAATAAGATAGTATAAGTGACGAACGCACTTAACACACTGCTTTGCGAAGCGTGATAATTATAATTCATGCTTTAAAAATGTGCTTAAGTTGTATAAATCAGAAATATCAAAGTCACGCCTCACACATTTTTACTAATTTGAAAAATAGAACTGTATTGGTGACTTTACTTTGGGACCGAGTGGTGACCATGCCTACCGCTAAGTTAGAAGGTAATTTCGCTAATACTTTTCTATTTAAATGCTTTAAAAATAAGCCTTCGGATCAGGACGGTGAAAAAGATTCATTTAATCATTTAGATTTTGAAGTGCTTCCAGAGAAGGGGACGTAACATGTTGAAATAACTTTTATGTGAAATTAATTAATGCCTTTGCTTGAAACGGAGCACGCGGAGATAACCTAGCACTTACAGTAAGCTTGGGTCGTTCATCGAGACGGCCGCTTTAGGACGGTGCCGCTAGAGATAGTGACGCTGTCGGCGGATAACGGAGGTCACTAAACGTCGCCGGGCCCAGCAAGCTTCGACTAACGCTTCGGAGCCAAGAAAGTGCTTCTACGGTGACAGACAGTTACTTATCGGTAAGTGAATTCATATTTTTGGAATAATATTTCAGCTCCATCAAAGGTCGAATATCTAAACCCATGTGAGCCTTCACCTTGTGGTATAAATGCAGAATGTAAAGTGCAAGGAAACGCTGGATCATGTACTTGTCTACCGGATTATTTTGGTGATCCGTATCAAGGATGTAGACCGGAATGTTTGGCTGATTCTGATTGTTCCTTACAATTAGCGTGTATTCGGAACAAATGTACTGATCCATGTCCTGGCGTCTGCGGATATAATGCAGAATGTTATGTTAATAACCACAAACCAACATGTAATTGTAGAATTGGTTTTACTGGAAATCCGTTTTCAATTTGCTCAGTCTTACCAGGTAAGTAAGTCTATCATATATTTTCTTTCACATTTTATGAATAAATATGATAATTCAATGGATTATTTTTTAGAACGAGACTTGACAGTAATCAACGTGTGTAGCCCCTCTCCTTGTGGAGCAAATTCTGTTTGTAAGGAAATTAATAATCAACCAGTGTGCTCATGTCTTCCGGAGTATCTGGGATCACCTCCAAATTGCAAACCAGAATGTATAGTAAATTCTGAGTGTGATTCAAATAGAGCATGCGTCAATCAAAGATGTGTTAACCCTTGCCCTAAACCATGTGGTCAAAACACGGAGTGTAAAGTTATAAGGCACAGTCCTGTATGTTCATGTCGACCAGGGTATTCCGGAAATCCATTTACAGTATGCTCGTTAGTATTCCGTAAGTATAATTTTTTTAGAAATATTAATATAATTATGTAGTTTAAACAAACATGTTTTGTAAATATACCTACTGTATTTTCAGAAACATCTCCGGTCATAGCAGCACCTACAGACCCTTGTGCACCATCACCATGTGGATTGTATGCAGAATGCCGTAATAATAATGGCCTAGCATCTTGTTCATGTATGCCGTCATATATTGGTTCGCCGCCATATTGTAAACCAGAATGCGTTATACATTCAGATTGTACTAGTGACCAAGCGTGTGTAGCAGAGAAATGTCGGAACCCTTGCGAGGGCTCATGTGGCCTATATGCGAAATGCTTTGTAAACAATCATGTTCCAGTGTGTTTATGCCCAGATGGATTTACAGGAGATCCTTTCAGTCAGTGCAAACCGCTACCTGTAGAAGGTGTGTAAAATAGTAGCATATAAACATATTTAATAAATACGAGGTATTTTTAATTATTTTAACGTCTGCTCTTTTAATTCAGATACACCACTAGCCCCTCTAGATCCATGCCAGGCTTGCGGACCAAATTCTGTGTGCAGAAATGGAGTTTGTTCATGCACAGAGGGGTATCATGGTGACCCGCATCTTGGTTGTCGGCCTGAATGTGTATACAATTCGGATTGTCCTTCTGACAAAGGCTGCCAAAGAAATAAGTGTGTGGATCCATGTGTTGGAACTTGTGGATTAAATGCAAATTGCATTGTGCGGAACCATATACCAATGTGTACATGTATAAAGGGAATGAGTGGCAACGCATTCGTGGAATGTCGACCATCTATAGGTAATGGAAAAATACTTACATTTGAAATAGCTCTTTAATCTTCCATGATATAAATGATATGGTTGCTATGAAAAATCATAATATGTTTTGTTATCATCAATCATCATCGATTTATTTTTCAGCTGTTGCTGAAAATCCTTGCAATCCATCTCCTTGTGGGCCTAATAGCCAATGTCGGCAATCGAATGGGCAAGCAGTTTGTTCATGTGTACCTGGCTATATTGGAAACCCGCCAACCTGTAGGCCTGAATGTATTGTCAGTCTGGAATGTTCATTAAAAGAAGCATGTAATAATCAGAAGTGTGTAAATCCCTGTATTGGTGCTTGTGGTCCTGGAGCGGTATGTGATGTCATTAATCACAATCCAATATGTACATGCCCTCCAATGTTTACTGGAGATCCATTCATAAGATGTACTTATATGGGTAAGTAAAATATATTTGTTTAAGCTATATTTTTTACAATTATTTCAAATATGATACTAACATTTATTTATTTGTTGTAGAAAAAGAGAAACCAAAAATAAATCCTTGTGAACCATCACCATGTGGACCCAATTCAATATGTAAAATAAATGGAGATGGACCTCTATGTGCTTGTCTTTCTAATTATAAAGGATCCCCGCCAAATTGTCGGCCAGAATGTATAAGTAACAGTGAATGTGATTTTAACTTGGCATGTTTAAACAACAAATGTTCTGATCCGTGTGCAGGTACTTGTGGGTCTAATGCAGAATGCAAAGTAGTAAGTCACGCGCCGCTCTGCATTTGCCAAGTCGGCTATACTGGTGATCCATTTTCTTACTGCCATCCACAAGTAATGAATGAGCCAACAGAAGTATTAACACCATGCAATCCTACGCCATGCGGCAACAATGCTATTTGTAAAGAACAGAACGGTGTTGGTGCCTGCCAATGTCTTCCAGAATATTTAGGAAATCCTTATGAAGGATGCCGACCAGAATGCGTTGTAAACTCTGACTGTCCATTGAACAAAGCCTGTTCGAGAATGAAGTGTGTGGATCCATGCCCAGGCACTTGTGGGTCTAATGCATTATGTCAAGTAAATAATCATATGCCTACATGCACATGTCAGCCCGGTTACACAGGAAATCCTTTCAGCTATTGCAGTATTCTTCAAGAACGTATGTTTATTTATTATACTTACTTTAAATTACTTCTGTATTATATTTTATAAAATAATTGCACAAATATTTTTTGAAGTTTCAAGTAATCAATGATTTGATTATTATTTTCAGCACAAGTTGTTGAAACCAATCCTTGCAGTCCTTCACCGTGTGGAGCTAACAGTCAATGCAAAGAAATCAATAGGCAAGCTGTGTGTTCATGCCTTCCAAGTTTCATTGGTGAACCACCTAACTGTCGACCGGAATGCGTAGTCAGTTCTGAATGCCCATCAAATTTAGCTTGTGTCAATCAAAAATGCAAAAATCCGTGTGTGGGCACTTGTGGAGAAAATGCAAATTGTAACGTCATCAATCATAGTCCAATCTGTGTTTGTAAACAAGGTCTAACTGGCAACCCATTTACAAGATGTTATCCGATGTTGAGTAAGTTGCATTTATAACAACAATACGCTCTGACTTTATTTATTTCTACTAATATGAAAACTCATCTTTAAAACAAACTTTTTTTTTTCAGTTACTAAACCTCAGCTCTCGCCTGTGGACCCATGTGTTCCATCTCCGTGTGGTTTATACTCAGAATGTAGAAATGTACAGAATTCTGCATCGTGTGCATGCAAAACAAATTACATAGGCAATCCACCCAATTGCCGACCTGAATGTACGATCAATTCGGAATGCCCTAGCAATCAAGCATGTATAAACGAAAGATGTCAAGATCCATGTCCAGGAGCATGTGGCCTCAATGCCCAGTGTACAGTATTTAATCACATAGCCCAATGTGCTTGTTTGGACCAATACACAGGGGATCCATTTTCAAGATGCATTTTGGCACCAGAACAAGATGGTGAGAAACCTTTGATATAAAGCTTATTATGAAATGCCTGATATGGAATGAGTTCAGCCAACTAACTAAATCTAGCAAATCCTGCATTAAGAAATAATGAAAAAAAATTATGTGTAAAATCTCAAAGAGATCAATGATAAATTTATAATTCTTTCAACTGTACTAGATCTACATATTATAATTATTGTTTCATCTCTATACTACCTATATAATTTTTGTTACAGAAATGAACATTGATCCTTGTAATCCAAGTCCATGTGGACCAAATGCTCAATGTAACAACGGAGAATGCACCTGTTTGCCCGAGTATCAAGGTGATCCTTATTTCGGCTGTAGACCCGAATGTTTGATGAGTGCAGATTGTCCACAGAACAAAGCATGCTTGAAAAATAAATGTGTAGATCCTTGCATAGGCACATGTGGTGTGGCTGCTTTATGTAATGTGTATAATCATGTTCCTATGTGCACATGCCCTAATGGTTATTCTGGCAATGCATTCCTGGAATGTAGAAAAATTACAGTAGTAGAAATATTAAATCCATGCAGTCCATCACCATGTGGACCAAACAGTCAGTGCCGTGAAGTAAATGGTCAAGCAATATGCTCTTGCCTATCGGGATACATAGGAGCTCCACCCACTTGCAGACCGGAATGTGTTTCAAGCGCAGAATGTGCATTAAATAAAGCTTGTTCAAATCAACGCTGCGTAAACCCATGTCAAGGAAATTGTGGTATTAACGCTCAATGTCAAGTGATCAATCATAATCCAATA